AAAATGTAGATGAATGTCTAAATGCCTTTTTAGTGTTTTTTTAGGCATGATAAAAAATTTAAATTTGTTTACAAAAACTTTTTATTAGGTTATGTTCATGATGTTCATTAGGTCGCAAATGCTACTTAATGGATTGTATTTACGGACATAAATAGAGATACGTAAATTAGGTTATAAATATGAACATAAAATACAACAAAATATAATTGGACGTTAGTTTAGGGATTATCAGTGAGACGTATCCTATTCGGACAACGGGTAGACGTCGGGCTAGTTCAAGTATATGTACGTCGTGCAAGCCAACGTGGGAACGACGTTGGGAAATTAATAAAAATGGTACGTTGTTATTTTGTACGTCGACAGATCGTTGGATTTACCGACTCGGATCCAACGACGTCGCTTTTAATAGGAAAGCGACGTCACAGGTCGTATCACCAGCACCCGACCTAAATTTGCACAAAGTCTGACGTCGCTTCAGGTCAGATTTAGTTCGAAGTCAGATAGATGCTACTTGGGATATTTCTTTAAGAACCATACAGATATTAAACTGTTGACTCCTTCAACTATTTCGACACCATTTTTTTTAGAAAACAACATAATTGGATCACCGGATGCAACCTATTAATACCCTTCCAAAAAATACACGAAAAAAAAACAAGGGAACGGCCTAAACTCTCCCCAATTTTAGAAAACGGGAGCTCAACATACTTGAAGCGCCTAAAAACCGAAAACCCTTCAAAATCGAACGGTGGAGGGTGTAGTCGAAATTGATGCCGAGGCATCGACGGATGATTTATAGCAAGAAACGTATTCTTACGTGACCGAAATTTTAAATTGTTTTATTGTTTTTTTCGTCTTTTCGGTGCCTCCTCCGCTCGGCTCCCCGTTATGTTCCAGGGGCGTAATTCGATCTCGCATATTTCCGTTTGATTAATGGAATGAGAGGTCCGGCCCTTATAAGGGCCGGAGTTTAATGCTGCCGCAGTTTTTTCCGTCAGGGCTATTTTGACTGCGTTACTTACTTTTCCTTCAATCGCTATGTAATGTCGATTTAGGGCCAAATGGTGTAAAAATGAGTCACGCCATATTCAGGGTTGTTCACCACATACGACACGGAGTATTGCAGCTAAACGATTAGATTTTTACAAATTGTAAGTTTTGGGTTTGTTGAAGGTCTATTAGAGCTACAATTTAAAAATATTTTTACAAGATACAGAGTGTCCCAAATAAGTAAAAAATATTATAGTTGTATTTTTTTAAATGGAACGCCCTGTATATTATTCTATTTTTGGATTCTACGATTGAAATAAAGGTAAATTTGATTAAGGTTTATCACACTTAAACCTTACCGTTTTTGAAATATATTCAATTTTATGAAATTGCAGTAAAAATTTTAAGGCTTTATTTCTCCTAGGGTATCAAAGTTTTTAATACTAAATATTTACTGTAGATTATTTATTGATCAGATATTGTGTTGCAATAATAAAAATTTTACTACCTTATACAGAGTGTCCAAAAATTTATATTAAATAATTACTAGCTTTAAACGGCAATAACTTGTTTCATTTAAATGGAACACCCTATATATTTTACGTGAATCAGATGCACAATGTAATTGTCTATCAAATTGTATTATTCCATTTTTTACCCATCTCTTCAAGTTTTCGTAGAAATTGCATTTTGTTAGAATTTAGACCTCATTTATCACTATACCCATGGAATATTGACATTTCAGATTTTTTATAGCACCATAATATGTACAAAATGTACAGGTGGTAAATATTGCATGCCCATTGGCATACAAAAAAACTATTTAAATCTTTGTAAAAGAGTATACCAATTAAATATACCACCATTATTTCCTACCAAAAACACCAAAAATTAGTTAATTACATACTTTTAAATTGTTTTAATTAATAAATTATTCGAAATAAATGTGGATTTGGCTCAGAAATCAATATAATAATAAGTTATGAAAATGAATGTCTCTGTTTTTATAAATAAGCATTCGTCAATAAATGAAATAAAATTTATAAGGTGTTACTTTTTACCACACTGTGTAATACACACACAAAATTCAGTTTTTTAGTATTTGGAACAATTATTACTACAACGTAAACAGTCAATTAATGTAGTTTGAATACTGGGATCATATTAATTGGTCCTCTTTAACAAAAAATATTTAAACAGTTTTTTTTATTTTTTAATTAAATAAGCGAACTATATCAACAATATTAGTATATGTACCCTTTGAAAATTTGTTACATCTTTAAAAATAAGCTAAAATGTCAATAAACTAAATAATAACTGTTAATAACTTGATTCCGACTTCAAACACACCGTAAGCTAAACGTAGTACGCTATAACGGACCAATGGCCGTCGCGGGGAGTGGTGGGACGGACGGCTCATTTCATTCTGGAAGACTAGCAGCGTCGTTGCCAATAGTTCTAGACGTTTCAGCACATTAAACAGTAAACACGTCCTTTAATAGTAACGCATATATCCTCTGGTTAATAACATATTATTACGCATGCTTCTTTAAAAATAAACTATTAATTTAATTAAGAAATTGAGATTTATTGATATCCGGTGAAGGTTTTAAAGTCACCTTTTCTGCAAATCAAACTAAGTAGGTAGGCGCAAATTTGAGATGTGGCAATGTCGCCTTCTCTATCTCAGTTGGTTTTTACAGTACGTAGTCAACCTCCGATTGTTTGATCGGGTTAAAATGCACAATGTGATATCTGTTCTTACTAAATCTATGGTATAGAGAGATGAAAAAAAATATAAAAGGACTTTATTGGCACTTGTAAACGGCGAACGAAAGAAGACAAAATCAGGAACGTAGTTGCCTAAGATGCGGATTGCAACCAGTGTCCGAGGCTGACGGTTCTTTGCCGGAAGACGTCCTGACAAATTGGCTTTATAATTTGATTGGTCGATAAGAAATATCGTTTCGAGTCAGCGGCACGTATAGTGCACAGAGATTATCTTTCTCCTCATTTTTTTCTCATCTCGTTTTTGGCAGATACGAAAAAAAGAAGAGAGATACGAACGCTGCAACAACATCATTAATAACTGCTCGATGCTATGCACCAGAATTAATCATTTGTGAATTTGTTACTTTGCATGTATATGTCGCTCCGTATACACGGTGTCTCATATAAGATAAGAATACAAGAAGAGATACAAAGATTATTTTCTTTTTTTTATCCGAAAAGGAAAATATATGTATATTAAGCCTTCAAGGGTCTATACAGGGTGTTTCAAAACAAATGCGAAAAACTTCAGGGGGTGATTCCTTGTTCAAAATAAAGGGTAGTTTGCTTCATAAACGTTGGGTCAAAACTCAACCATTAGGGAGATATCGCGGTACAAAGATGGCGGAAAAATAATGTTCTTATTTCTCATTTTGAAAACGAAAAGAGATAGACTAATGAAATTTTATGGAAGCATTACTGTTATGAAAACACACTTCCTGGTAATTTTTTCACTTTTTTAAAATGAGTGGAAGGGGTTGAAATAAACTACCCCTAACTGTCTTGTTAACGAAATTTAAAGAAAAATCTTATCAAACACATGCAAAAAAATTAATTTGGATAGTTTAGTTTGTTTAGAAACTTTTTTATCTCTTGTATTTTTTTATAAACCTCACCGATTTGAAATTAAAAAATAAAATGTAAAGCATTACATGTCAGGACTAAAAATATTTTTATATTAAGAATCTAGTGATAATAATGATAATAATAATAATCTAGATAATAACGTATTGCAGTAGGGTAATGTCAAATAAAACAATATTAGAAATATCCTAAAAAGTGACAGCGGCCGACTAGATTTTTTCCTAAAAAATTACAGCTGCCCACTAGATTCTTTATCTAAAAATGTGTTTTGTCCTGACATGTAATGCTTTACATTTTATTTTTTAATTTCAAATCGGTGAGTTTTATCAAAAAAATTCAAGAGATAAAAAAGTTTCTAAATAAACTAAACTACCAAAATTATTTTTTTTGCATGTGTTTGATAAGATTTTTCTTGAAATTTCATTAACAAGAATGATAGGGGTAGTTTATTTCAACCCCTTCCACTCATTTTAAAAAAGTGAAAAAATTACCAGAAAGTGTCTTTTCATAACAGTAATGCTTCCGTAAAATTTCATTAGTCTATCTCTTTTCGTTATCAAGATAAAAAATAAAAACATTATTTTTCCGCCATCTTTGTACCGCGATATCTCCCTAATGGTTAACTTTTGACCCAACGTTTATAAAGCAAACTACCCTTTATTTTGAACAAGGAATCACCCCCTGAAGTTTTTCGCATTTGTTTTGAAACACCCTGTATATTCTGAATCTATATAAAAATATTTACGAGTGTTACTCACGACTTTGTTCACTATTGTTCTATGGCCTTTGAAAATGTGTACAAAATAGCCAAAAATTGTATTTTTTTGATTTTTTTCTCATACATAGTCTCAGTCATGTCACCGATTTTGTTAAAACTGCTATTATTCGCTAATTAAAAGACGTAAAATAAGAAACTATGGGTCACTATAGTCTTGAGAGAACAGTAATGGATGTAGCAAAAAATACGTAATTCCACGGAACATTGAGACAGCCTGTATATCTAGTAATTATACCTCATAGTTTATAAATTATCTCTTATCAAATTTAATTTTCCGATAGTGACTCACTTACCGATCGTCAAAATTTTAAAATACTTTTAGTAAGTTTCACAAACTTTTAATTTTAAATTTTGGGTAGTTTTAAGCTTGATAAATGTACCACTTTTACTTATATAGTTTACTAAATGTTACTCTTACTAAAGAAGAGATGGTGTTATTATAATTAGAAATAATGTAGGCATCACAGAACGTTACAAAAGTATTTCAATAATTCCAATCGTATGTAGGCTAGCCCCTAGAATATAAAAAAAAAGAAATAAAAAAGAAATATTTTTTCCTTGCTTAACTCTTTTTTATCTATTCTTTTCTTTTTTCCAGATCAAACTCCAGAGAAGTGGACGCCGACCCCAAGACCCTCTCCGCGTCCACTCTGGAACAGACAGTGGCGTCCCACCATCACCAACAGCAGCAGCACCGGCTTATCTCAAAGCAGCCGTTTCGTCTGCTGGACAATGACGTCAGGACCGCTTGGATCAATCCCAGATTGATATCGAAGGTAATTATTCGGAATTTTGCTTGCTTCGTTTTTCCAGGATCTGGATAGGGTCTAGGACGATTGCGAGTGACGTTATCGGGATCTTGTCTGGTTACAGAGTATAGTTCTGGAGTTTGTTTGAGAGATTTTCCTTTGTAAGTACTAAGGTTTTGAGAGAAGAATAACTAAATAAAATTTTGGATAATAACGTTTGAATAATAGCGTTTATTTAAACGTTATTATTTTACAGTTTACAATTAGCATTTATTAGTTTGTAAAGGAAAAAATCCAGATTTTTTTAAAAATAATCAAAAAAATTTTTAAAATGTATTTTTAAGAATGTCAATTATAAACTTGTGTATAGTGCTAATAATAAATTACAACAATTATTAGGTAATCCAAAGGATAAAACACCTCCACTGGAAAGGTCTGGTATTTATGAAATTTCTTGTAAAGATTGTAATCAGAAATATGTTGGGCAAACTAGAAGATCAATATTAACTAGATTTAAAGAACATTTAGCTCAGATAAGATATGGTAGACCGGGTAAATCTTGCGTTGCCGAACATATTGTTGATAAAGAACATTGTAGAGATCTTAATAATTTAAAATTAATTAAACAAGTCTCAAATTACACGCAATTAGATGCATATGAAAGCATCAGAATTAATAAATGTAAAGATAGTATGAACAGAGAAAACGGTCCAATTCCTTCAAGTTCTTTGTTCCTACTACTCTAGCGGCGGAAATCTAACTGTTACGCTCAGTGGGCTCTGACTCGGTTGGCTAGATTTTGCCACGCCCACTCGGTGCCCACTGAGCGAGTATATAAACGCTCAACTTGTAGATTGTACTTTAGTTTATAATCATCTGCTGATGGTGCTAACATGGTTAGCGAAACGCGCGTCCAGTGTAAAAGTGTTTTGGTGTATTGTGGTGATTTAGTGTTTTTATTTTGCTGTGTAACACCAAAGGTTCCAACCCTCCACTGTAATTAACAATTCTACGGGGCGTGTGATTTTTCCAAATCGGTCACCAATATATTCCGCAAAAAAAGTCGTTCGCTTCAGATCAAAAGGATTTTTTTCAAACGTCTCAAAAGTATTGTTGCGGACCGGTGTGGACTCGACCTAACCTAACAATATGGCCCGCCCTCGGATGACCTTAACATCGCATAGACACCGTAATGATTCATTCGAAGATTCGAGAAGGATCGAGTCCCACTGGAATGGAGTAGTACCATAGACTTAAAATAAAATATAGACTACACTATTTACATCTCAACGCGGACAGGCAATATTTTTTGTACACATGTTTACTTCTGGGTACAGTCGACCGAGCCTTCTTCATCCAGCCTATGTTGTCACGTCTTTAATATTATCAATATTTTTTTTCTTGTTATACACATATATTGAGATATTAATTCTACAGTTTAATAAAGTAGGTTTTAATATTCCATAGATGTATTAAATAGTCCTTATACTACTAAATTATAAGTCGGATACTGTTTAAAAAGGATAAGTTCTTTACAATATGACAACACCGATTAGAGGCGAGGGAGCCTATTCATTCATTTATCACCTTGTAGTACGTGTCGCACGTGTGCGGTAAAGCTTTGTTGCCGCTATCTCCCCGGCTGTATTAACGCATTTTCTTAGACTTTTTCTGTTCAAGAACTATAAAATATGGTTCGCCAGTGCCAAATTTGCAAGAAATTTGACTTAAATAATCCATTTAAGTCTTGAAACGACTTTTGACCGGTAGGCAACTCTCAATTTACCCATTGGGAGTCAGTGGCGTTGTTGTAGAAAGGCGCTTATTTAGATAATATTTTAGTAAAATGTAAAATCTGAATTTTTTCTCTTACATTACATTATTTACTTACTTACATTGTAACAAAATCATAATTATAACCCTGTTAATAATGTTTTTATTAAAAATATATTCCGGTTTATTCTAAAATTATCTTCAGAATCTAAAATAACATACAAGAATTTTAAAATGATATTACATTATGAAACAATATTTTTTAATATACCGGGTCGTCTCAAAAGTGGCTCACCCCTATAACTTTTTTATTTTTTCAGATAAAAAAACAGATTTGTATGTTAGTAGGTATATGACATAAATTAGGATTTATTGACGTATTCAATTGTTTTTGGTCTCTTCCTGTTTCACCGAAATGATTACATCTTTTGATTTTTAAAGGCACCCTCGGTATATTGCTACTTTATTCGATAAAAAATTATACTCTGAATAGAATGACATATCATAGGTATGTCAACTTTTGACATTGTCGCATAAAAACAAATCCTATTTTAAATTTCAATCCAGGGTGCCATGGTGTTGTTAAAAACACTAAGTTTTAATCAAGGAGCCTTGGAAAAATAGTTTTGATCGTCTAATGGGTTTCGTGTCTTGTCTAGGCCGGTTAAAAGATGTACAAATCGTATTTTTAATCATACATATGTCAATTTTTTCAAATGGAACAAGGGTGACTCATTAGCATATTTGGAAAAAGCATTTTTTTATGAATATATTGATACCATACACTTGGTATTTCGAGTCAAATTGTCATTATGAACTGCGTGTTACAATTAAACCATATGCGAGAATGTCAAAAGTTGACGTATGATGTGTCATTCTATTCAGAGTGTCATTTTCTATCGAATAAAGTAGAAATATACCAAGGGTGCCGTTTAAAAATTAAAAGTTATAGTCATTTCCGGTGAAACAGGAAGTGACCAAAAACAATTGAATGCGTCAATCAATCCTAATTTATGTCATGTACTAACATACTAAATCTTGTTTTTTTATTTGAAAATATAAAAAATTATGGGGATGAGCCACTTTTGGGACGCACCCGGTATAATAAAGACAGTACCGAGTTAAATAAATGTAGTTTTCATTTTATCCACTTCCTATCACCTTCCTTGCTTTAATGGAACAGATTTATGTTTTCTCTAATTTACATAAGACATCACTTAACCAGAAAAAAAAATTACAAAAATCATATTTTTTTTTCTCTCCCTGTCGCCGATTCTATTATATCTGTGGAATAGATCCTGTTTTGATTAATATTAGGGGTTGTAAATGTTTGACTAAAATTAATAATTTATTATTCATTTAAAAAATTACGTAATTTCACGTTTTTGTATTTTATTATTTTTATCCTTTTTGGACTCTAAGACGTTTTTTCTAAACTTTTATTTAAAAAACCTGTCCTAAATCTTAATAAAATATAAAAAAGTGTAAATACGATATATTTTTAATTTAATTATAGCTTCATTAAAATAAAAAAATTACCCGGCTATGATACGGAGAGTTCAGGTGTACTTGAGAAACGAAAGACAGTGTTGTGTTTCTCGGCAGAGTCGTCAGGGAACGACCGTTACGACAGAGACAACCTATCTATCGCTCGTGTCGCACTCGTTATAACCTAAAACAATAACACAACAATAACAAGACAGTGTCTGACCGCATGTTCCAGCTATTTATGAATGAGATGCTTAGTCTATATTTTATTTTAAGTCTATGAGTAGTACATACGAGAACATTTGAAACCTTCTCTATGCACCTAACGATCTATGGACTATTCTAGTAAACTTTAACTGTAGGTATAAAAGCTGGCGGCTGTGGCCTAGAGAGGGCAGTTATAAATAAACAGTGCAGTTGACGCGCTAAAATTCAAAATAAATTCTTAGTTATAAATCGTTTGTAAATAGTTCTATAAGTCTTTTATCGTTATTGTTTTTTGTTAATTAGTGTTAAATAAATAGTGTTTAAATAAATTGTGACTTTCTATCCACACGGAACCGACGAAAAACGTAACAGTATTAATTTTTGTCACTTTAACGCCTAGGCAGAAAAGTAAAGCACTGTTACGCCGAAGTACAAAAGTACAAAAATATATTATTAAACTGATATTAAGTGTCAAATTCAACGAGTTTACAAATTGTTGCTCGATTACTGTTTATATTATTTGCAATGTTTGAAACTGACGAAAAAATTATTTGTAATGTTAAAAAAAATAGTATGTTCTATTTGGAGTAAAAATGTACTTTTTGTGCCTCCCTGTAACGTCGGAATAGCTTTACGATGGTCCTTCAAAGGTACAGCATCGTCAAAAAAAGTATAAAACAATACAGTATTGTTCGGAAATAGTTTTAAGTCGAGAATGAAATTAGTATGTATTATCTAATGTCAAAGTGAAAAGTACTTAATGCTGATCAAAATGTCGGTAGGAATTTGGAAACATACAACCGCTTCAAAAAAAAAATAAAACAACATATTTTCTGACGATTATAGATTCTCGGGAATGAAGATATATTAGCACAGATTATACAGATTATAATCTTTGTTTTTTTTTTATTTTTTTTTCGTGGTTCCAACTTTCGGAATTGGGCACTAGTTAGGTTACTAGTTTGCGCACATAGCACGCCCACTTATGGCCTCTAAAATTGTGCACAGCGCCTGACCGGCACAGTTATTAGAGAGATATCGCAAAACCGAATAGCGTCATGCAGTATTTACGCGTACCTTATCATGGTTACGATATGCGCGAGTCAATTTTTAACGCAACGCCCGCTAATAACGTTACCGCCTGACGTAATCTGCGGATCAATTACACCAAGCGCTATTTCTAAATAACGTTTAAAAATTGCTTAAATGGGCATGTGCGGGTATTTGACAACCGGGGCCGGCCGGCGAGATCTTTTAATTTAGGGTATGTTGGAATTGTTTTGAATTATTACTTTAGTTTTATTAGGTAATTTGATATTTAAGTAGCTGGGATTAGTTTTAATTAAATAAATATGGCCCAAAATATGGATTCCACCTCTTCCAATATTAAAGAACCTATAAAGAGGCTTAGGTTTACAGCAGATGACGACTTAGCCCTTCTAAGAGAATTTGTTGCTTGTTGCTCTAAACCCACTGGCAGACGTTGAACATAAAGCACCGGAAATAAGCACTGTAGCTCTTTAGTTTTAAAATACCTAGTAAACAAAACAATTTCAAAG